ATGTCGATCAGGCAGATGCCTGTGGTCAACTTGTCGTCCCGGGCCTTTAAGATGGCATCTGTTGCTACAACTAGGGCGTCCTCTGTGGAGTGCTGACGGCGGAAGGCAAACTGAGTCGGTGGTATGGCACATGATCGCTCCAGATGTGCAACAAGTTGCTTCTGGACTATCTTCTCGAGTAGTTTGGATACGATCGGCAGGAGCGACACAGGACGATAATTTGCAGCTACCGATGGATCGCCAGCTTTGAAGAGAGGGCTTATTACAGCATGTTTGAAAGCCAGAGGGACTTCACCATGCCTCAGCGATGAGCTGAAGAGCACTGAAAGCGATGGAGCCAACAGGTCAGCGCAAGCACGTAGCAGACACCCAGGAATCCCATCACTGCCTGTGGCTTTGCAGGGATTTATCCGTTCCAGGAGGTGCTTGACCTCATCTGGGGTAGTTGACTGGAAGGTCAGCATTGAGCCTTGCGGCTGTGGACCAATGGGAATCTGGAGCTGCGCCGGACGGGACGGATCATGTACAATGCTGTGGAAGGCATCCGAGACTTCTGTGATGTCGCACGTTGGCTGATGATGTTGACGAGAACGGCTAGTGACAGAGTTGATCACGGACCACATCTTCCGCAGGTTGGAGGAGTGATCACGACACTGCTGTTGGAAATGCTGATTGCGTTTTCGCCGGTAAGCATTTGAGGCTTCTGCACGGGCTCGCTTGTACTCCTCATGTAGATGCACGTTAGTCTTATCTCGTAGCCACTTTCGGTGAAGTCTATTCTTGCGCATGTTCAGTTGGAATAGATCACGGTCGGACCATGGCGGGGGAGTCCTCCTGGTGGAGATTCTGACTTCACGCAGGGGAGCGTGACTTTCGAGAACCGACATAAACTTGGCATGCCAGCCATTCCACATCTCGTCTACAGTTGCAGCAGGGGGAAAGGAGTGGAGGCTGCACGAGGCAATATCTTCACGAAATGTTGCAAGGTTAATGGCACGGATCTTGCGGGTGAGGCGCACTGATTTCCGCTGCAGTGGGTGTTGCGAGGAGGGTAGAGACAGACTTGCATGCACAAGGAAGTGATCGCTGATCGTGCAGGGTACAACTTCACAATGACTTATAGTACCCACGGTGGAGAGCACTAGATCAAGCAGCGTTCCATCCGGACATCGGGGTGTGACTCGTGTGGCAGACTGAACATAGTTGCGGAGCCCATACGATCCGATAAGGTCCCAGAAGCGCTGGTGAGGACGACTGGTCATGCATTGAGCCAGATTGATATTAAAGTCACCCACCAGTGTCATTGATGGCGTGATCGTGGCAGCATTGTGGAGGACTGTGTCCAGGTGGCCCCAGAAATCAGCAGTTGCATTTGGTGGGCGATAGAGGCAGCCAACGAGGTGCTGGTGTTGCCCTCCGCCAATAGCTATCCAGGTAGCCTCCAGGTGGCTATTGTGCAGATCAGAACGATAGGTAACTGGGAGTGATGTCTTGTAATAGAGGCATGTGCCCCCACCCTGGCGATCGGGCCGGTCACAGCGAACAACACTGTAGCCGGGAATACAAATTTCGCCATCCGAGATTGTACTGTCCAGCCAGGTCTCGGCAACGCCAACGACGTCCCAGTTGTGCTGGTGGGCAAGGCTGTCCAGTGCGTGCAGCTTGTAGCGCAGGCTGCAGATATTCAAAAACCCGATGTTGAGGCTCGTGACGAACAGTTTGAGGTTGTTGCAGTTGGTTGTTCTTTGGGAGCCCCGGGACCTTCGAGGCTGGAAGGGAGTAGCATTGGGGTTTAGCAGGGGTATATGGCTGGCAGCAGACATCACTGTTTGCTGACTGGAGCCACGCGCTTTGCAGCTTGGTCTTCAGCGGGAGAACCACGCTGGTGGGGTCGTGACTTCTGCCCAGGGGTCCGAGTTAACTCAGCGCCGGGTTTGGGAGAACTGTCGCTGCTGCTATTGCGGCGGCTGCTGCTGCCGCTCCTGCCACAGTCGTTTCCGCTGCTGTCGTCGCCACTGCCATCGTCCCTGCTGCTGTGGGCATTGTCGTTGCCGTCGCCACTGCCACCGTCACTGCTGCTGCCGCCGCCACTGCCACAGTCGTTTCCGCTGCTGTCGTCGCCACTGCCACCGTCACTGCTGCTGTGGGCATTGTCGTTGCCGTCGCCACTGCCACCATTACTGCTGCTGTGGGCCTTGTCGTTGCCGCTGCTCTTCTTGGGTGGATTGAATTTCCATGTCCTGCAGTAGAGAGGCCGAGGCCAGAAGTTGGCAGAGGTCACAGTGGCCAGGCAAGCTGCATCGATGGTGACCCTGGCGGATACTTTGCCGCTAGCTGCCGTGTGTACATTGCATGAGTGGACATCTATGATGTTCCCTGTGGCTGCTACAGACCGGCGGTGCACAAACTCCGTGAGGCCCTCCATTGTGCAGGTGCTGCTAAGGTTGCCAACAAACACTACTGCTCTCCGGCGTCTTGGTGGGGCTGCAGCGACCAGCTGCCAGCTGTCGTCATTTATGGCATCCACTTCCTCTTGCTCTGTGTTGCCAGTTTCAGGTTCAACACTACCTGCAGCGGCCGGTAGGGTGTCCTGGTTAGGCCCAGCGTTGGCAGCAGTAGCACCGAAAACGGGCTTGACACTGACAGGCAGGAGTCCAGTATCCCCTGCATCAGACTCAGAATACTCCATTTCTGTGTCCCCAGAGGGCACTGTCTTGGTTGCGTGCCAGGGTGTGGCGGCGCTACGGGTACGGGGTTCAGTGTGGGTTCCCACGTGTTTTACCTGCTGGTTTGGCAGTTTTGCACTGTCACTTGCGCGTGGCTTTGACTGTCCAGGACTACTGGTACGGGTACTCGTAGTACTACTACTACCTGCACTCTTGATCTCCTTGCCCAGCTCGCTTTTTGAAAATGGTAGCTTGACTGCCATAATGGCGGACTCCTTCAATGACTTCATTTCTTGCCTTAAATCCAAGACCAGGCCGGCGAGCTCGTCTACTCTCCGCTGGAGGCGTACTTCGTTGTTTCTGGCCTCACTGACGAAAGCATTCAAAGTATCTACAAGGCTGACCACGTTGTGATGTATTCCGGGAATGCTACAAAGTAGCTTCACCTGCTCCGCGCTTGAGAGCTCACCCATGGCGCAAAGATTCTCGTTGTGCACAACCTAGCTACCTAACTACACTACTGCAACTGCTGCCACTACTACTACTACTGCTACAACCTACCTACTTACCTCCAGTCCGGCCTAATGCCGGCTGGGCTGTCCAAAAGGTTTCAAGAACTGGAGCTCAAAAACGCGTACCCACCGCACAGGTGACTCGAAATTTGTCACCTGATTCCACGAGAATGTTACGTAGCAATGCACACAAAACTAAGACTTTCTCACACGCTCCATATCGCGCTACATATCCCATGGCATGGTAATTGTCATGCTGGGATTGCCATATTCCTGGTTGTTTGTTTTCAAATTCGTCCAGTCGGCTACTATCATTCGTCTTGGGGGGTTAGACAAGGGGAAGTAGTCATGTCGGGGCGTGAGCCCGCCTTTCGGCACCGGGGGTTGCAGCTCGCTCGACTTCACTCTACTGAGTGCAGAGGACCCACACTTTGATCTGGTGAGCTGCGTTGTGGGGAGTTTGCAGTCCGATGTGCGACTGCGGGGCTCGAACCCGCGACCTCTCGGGTCTCAGGCTAGTACAGTACCCAATGTACTACCACTTACTAGGGAGCCCCAGCTACTGTTATCAGTACTCTCAGGGTAGGGTCAGTATCAATTTTCCTCTGATGGTCGATTTTAACCCTACTAAACTACCGGAGGCTAGGGTCCAGCGGATTCTGCCGGCAGAAAAATTGGCAGAATTCGGTACTTTTTCTGGTAAGTTTCATGCATGTTTGGTATGTGGATAAAGAAATGGAGCAGAATTCGAGGAATTGCCCGCCATAAGGTTTGTATGGTTCTGCCAATTTTTCTGCTTTTCGAGCAGAATCTGCCACCTTTTCGAGCAGAATCCGCCGGTCCCTACCGGAGGCATCATATTATTATTATGATGCATTTGCGAATTTCTTATACTAGTTATAGGAGTCTTTTTGCATGACAGTTTAAAATCCACATCCATAGTTCATAGTTCGTGAAACTCAGAGTTACGACAAACGCAACTGCTCGTTCTTCGGTCTGTGTAGAGGTCAAAGAGGAAACTCGTGTGGATTTTGAACTGTCATGCAGAAACACACCTATCAGACAAGAAAAGAACAAGCATGTAAGTAAATGATTGCACATCATTGCTGTACCATTACTCTTTCGTTTTCCCTCCTAACCCCTACCCCTACCCCTACCCCTACCCCTACCCCTACCCCTACCCTACCCTTACCCCTACCCCTACCCCTACCCCTACCCCTACCCCTACCCCTACCCCTACCCCTACCCCTACCCCTACCCCTACCCCTACCCTACCCCTACCCCTACCCCTACCCCTACCCCTACCCCTACCCCTACCCCTACTTATCTTTATTGCTGTTGTATGCTATCAGTCTATCACCCACTCACTTCGCATTGCCCGGTGCTTCCACTGAGTCTTTACTAGAATCTGATATTGGAATAAATATGATACCCCTCAGAATGTCCCACCTTGCTCCGCCTTATGTTCTGGCTGCCCGTTTTGGATCCATCAGTTGCCTGATGATCGTAGTAAAACGTGAAACTCAGAGTTGTAACAAAGCTTCCAATCTCTCTCTTGTATTGGAATAAATATTATATATCCAGTGCTGCTGCATTGCGCATCGCTCGCTACCTTTCCTAGTTTGAGCACTCTGGCGCTAGAGCAACGAGTTGGCTTGAATGTCTGTGGTGCCACCTTTGCACCATGGCTGGCAACTCGTCTTACTTTTAGCTTAAAAAAACGCTCGTAGCTACACTGATGAGGCATTCATGGACGAAACAACTTGCTGTCTACAGCATTGGGTGAGTAAATAAATCTCCTTCCATACGGATAGCTACTTACGCGCTTGGGCAGGGTCCGTCGTACAGGTAATCATCAGAAGGCCGAAGACGTGTACGAGGGATAAGACGACAGAGTACAAGGACTGTGGTCGATACTTGCGGGCAGCCATCATCGCATACGCCAAGCCGGGATGTAATGTGTGCGGGATATGTTGCAGACACGTTGAGTGGGGTGGCTAATAAGAGGCAATTGCAGCGTACCAGGACTTAGTTCGGAGCAACTAAAATCTGTCGTCCAACGTTATCGGATCTGCTATCGGATAATACTGTTTCTTTTGAGCGGTACCAAATATTTGAAATGTACGCGTGATCACGATTACTACTGAGTACCGGTATAACAGAAACTGTTAACGACTTTTAAAAGGCTTTAGCCTACTTCTATTTCTCAAGCAGCACACAGTGCCTACTTTCCTGTAACCAGTAACTCTGTCTCCGTCTCCGTCTCTCTATCTCTCTCTCTTACTCTCTTTCCTCCTCCTCCTCTCTTGATCTGTTGTCTCTACTGAAGTACATGTAAGTCTTAGCAGCAATAATGTTTCTTGCCCAGCTAGCTGGTTGGCTGCACAAATGATGTAGCCCTGTTTTCCAGCAGTGACTGTGTAGATCGCTGCTGGTGCCCAGCCCGCTTGCTGGCGTGTCGCCACACAATGAGTCATTATGTTATTACACACATAAAGCTGTATAGAGTAAACCAGTGTATACACGCGCACGCGCGCACGCGCGCAAACACACACATACACACACGCGCGCACACGCGGCCGGAGGTGCACATGTTGTGCATAACTTGTTCATGTATTGTGATGGCGGCGGACCCAGGACCAAACTTGTGCTTGATTTGGCCATGGACTGTCGAACAAACAGACCATGGAGATCAGGGCAGGTGGCAACCAGTCGTTCTCAATGCCATTGATGGACATGCTCGCACCTGCACTCGGTGCATGTCACTTCAAGACAAATCACAGGAAGGAAGCAGGAAAACCTCACAGAAGCGCGGATGTCGCATCGATGCCGCTTCACTCTCCACAGTGACAGCGCCCAACTTCTGGCCAAGGCCCCTATACGGCAGGCAATGGAGGTTCTCCGAAACCAGCTCTGAGGGCAGCACCAGCAGTCGCAGCCACAGCAACAGAAACAGCATCTCCGTCACTGTAACAGCAACAACAGCAGCCTGGTTCAACCTCCCCCACCCCGCCGCCACCACCACCTGCAGACATCATCTCCACTGCACTACACGATGGCCAAAAACGGAGAAACTCCCACCTCTCCGCATCAGAGGCTGGACTGTGGAGACCTGAAGAGATCAACCGGATCTGCACCACAACATGTACTACAGGTAAATGGTCGTCAATGAAGCGCTTCAGAGTCCTCAGGCTCCTACTCACCAATGAAGCACTTCAGAGTCCTCAGGCTCCTACTCACCAATGAAGCGCTTCAGAGTCCTCAGGCTCCTACTCACCAATGAAGCACTTCAGAGTCCTCAGGCTCCTACTCACCAATGAAGCACTTCAGAGTCCTCAGGCTCCTACTCACCAATGAAGCACTTCAGAGTCCTCAGGCTCCTACTCACCAATGAAGCACTTCAGAGTCCTCAGGCTCCTACTCACCAATGAAGCACTTCAGAGTCCTCAGGCTCCTACTCACCAATGAAGCACTTCAGAGTCCTCAGGCTCCTACTCACCAATGAAGCACTTCAGAGTCCTCAGGCTCCTACTCACCAATGAAGCACTTCAGAGTCCTCAGGCTCCTACTCACCAATGAAGCACTTCAGAGTCCTCAGGCTCCTACTCACCAATGAAGCACTTCAGAGTCCTCAGGCTCCTACTCACCAATGAAGCACTTCAGAGTCCTCAGGCTCCTACTCACCAATGAAGCACTTCAGAGTCCTCAGGCTCCTACTCACCAATGAAGCACTTCAGAGTCCTCAGGCTCCTACTCACCAATGAAGCACTTCCTCAGGCTCCTACTCACCAATGAAGCACTTCCTCAGGCTCCTACTCACCAATGCTTTCGGCCTAAAGTCAAAGCTCGGTGAACTCGCACATGCAGCAAAGTGCTCCTCACCTGATGTCATCGCTCTAACGGAGACAACATTCTCAACCGCCAAGGTCACTGGCAGTGAGGTCTGTCTCTCCGGATACGCTCCCTCAATCCGACATGACAGAAACGCTCATCATCGACTGAGTCATGGAGGCGGAGTTGCCATTTGGGTGAAATCAAACTTGGCTTTCCAGCACTTAGACCGGTTGAGCACGGAGCATCACGAAGTGATATGGATACCTATATCAAGGGCTAGCCGGTCCAAGATTGTTATCTGAGCAGTCTATCCGTAAGGCGCCACAGCCGGTACAGACACCAGTAGTATAGGGGGAGGGGGTCAGGTGAGCCAGAACCCCCCCCCCCCCCCCCTATACTACTGACACCTACAATTATAGCTAATCGAATATGTGTAGCTTATCGAATACATTGATACCCACCTAGAATGCTAGATGATGATGCCCGCAGCCACGGTAATTATGTTTTCCTCGCGAGGGATTTCAATGTCCAAAATGCAGCATGGCTAGGGAGCACCAGGACTACCTCGGCAGGGGAAGCATCCGCGGAACTCTGCTATGTTCGTGGCCTGGTGCAACATGTCAACATCTCCCCCCCCCCCCCCACCGTTAGGCGCTGCATCTGCCGCTAGGGTTTATCGGGTGTTAGCGGCCGTCGTGAGTTCCCTTCGGGAACGGATACGATAATTAAATTTGTACTGCCTGGTGTGGATGGTGTGGATGGGTTCACGTACATCCAGACTGGACAGAATACAGCACGAGGTACTGAAGGTTATTGGCCCAGGAGCCTGGCTTCACAGCCTGAAACACCGCCAACTGGTTGCTGCGCTTTCATTCACCTTCAAGCTGCCCTACCTCCCAACACCAAGCCCCTTGAAGCCCATCCCCGCCCGGTGGGTGGTCGATCCACTAGGCTAGCAACGGAGACTGCCCACTGCCACCCGCTCCAGCTCAAGTCAACGTTGCCCGTGCGTACTCGTAGCATCCTCCTGGGTTCTTACCCATACTGCATTATTCCCTTGTGGGACAGCGACCATTCTACCAGCACGGCCGCAATCCAGACAGCTCTAGTCCTTCAAGGAAACGTGCAACAAGTATCTGCTGCACATAAACTGACAAACAGCCACCGACGTCCCATGAAACGGTTTAGACCAGCGCCTCACTAGCATCCCCCCTCCCTCCTCATTACAATGTGATGTTATCTCTTATTCTGCTTCTCTCCTCACTACATGTTATCTTTCATTCTGCTTCTCTCATGACCATCTACCCATTGTCCGCGTTACTCACTATTATTCATTTCCCTTCCCCTCCCCATGGTTTTTACTGCATTATGGTGCGCTTTGTCTGCGTAGACGCCGAGACCTTTAAGGTTGGCAGAGCAGCCTGGCCTAGGGTCCGCCCCGCCTGGCCCCGCCACCACTCCTCGCACATATTCGGGAGTATAGTGGACTTTCGTATAAAAAAATATGTCGGACAACTCGGCAGGAGCTCCGGAGGCATTGCGGAACTTTGCGCATTTCCGCGTCGCCTCCTCGCTGGGCCAGGATTCCTCTGCTCCACAGCTCCTAGGCGACACAGTGTACGATTCCCTCTCCGGGAACCGTTTTCGCGGAGGCATGGTCACCATGGTCACCGATCAGGGCCTGGAGCCGTTTTCGAGGATGAGCCTACACCAGAAATAGTGGACTGAACAAGACCGAGTCTACTCCGTACCCGTACAGGTAGTGGCAAGACCCCCGGGCTATACTCTTGCCAGTGCCCGGCAGTGGTAGAACTGATAAAGATCCCTGGAACAGTTTTCTATTCTTACCAGGGAGTGGTATTGTACTACTCCCTGGTTGGAGGTATCCGTTTTCCGCATGCGCCAGGCGATTCCTAAAAAAAGACCCAGACTGGGCCAGAGCCGGCCAGAGGGCTGGAGACTGGAGTAATAAAAAAACTCCCTACAATCATGTAGTTTCAATCAGGGGGTCGTACCATTACGACTTCCTTGCTTCAATCTATCGGCAAGAGTACTTTTTTTTTTTTTTTTTTTCATCAGACATGCTGAGCCTCTTGTACGGGCAAAATAACACATTTTGTGAAGAATCAACACATAAAACGAATCATCAGACTGATACAGTATTTACAGAGTCTGTCACTCAGTAGGATCACTGCACTGTGCAGGTTCACTGGATGCGTGCCTCCGCCGCCACTAGCACAGCAGGGGACTCAGGCATGGCAGGAGCAAACATGCTCCTTGAGCCACGCAGGCACATAGCACCACAACGCACCAGGGCAAACCCAAGGCGGCAGCGCAGCAAGGAGATAACCTGCCCGTATGGCTCCTTACTCTTCTCAGCCAGGAGAGAGGCGATCCGCGTGAAAAGAGCATTGGCATGCTTGCCATAGCCACCAGAGGCAGAGAGCACAACGGGCACGAAGGAGGCATGCTCAACTTCACGTACTCGCTCCTCGTACTTCCGGCGCTTTTCCTGTTCATGGCGTCTGTAGCTAGCAGCGAGGGAGGTGGCACGATTCGAAGACGCAAAAGGGTTGAACACCCGTACATCAATAAAGATGCGCTCGAATCGGCCACCCCACACACCACTAGCCGCAACGTCCAGCCGAGCTTGCTCCTCCGTGACAGCTGTGCGATGGCGGAAGGCCTCTCCGGTGACGGGCTGGAGGTGGGGTTCCACTGTCACGTTGTGAGCGACCTGCCTTAGAGCTCTGGCGGTGATGTCCCTCACCTCGTTGTGTCGCAGCGTCGGGAAGCCACCAAACGGGCACGACAGGGCGTGACTCACATTCAGCGGCAAGAGTACAGACAGTCATTTTGATATCGGGCATAGCAGGGAGTCGTAACATTACTACTCCCTGGTTTACAATAGTCATTTTGCATCTGGATCCATAGAACGTTACGTTTGCATCTGGAACGTGCTCCATGACTGACTGTAGAGGAGACGGCTCGATACCGGGACGTTTTGACAGCCAAATTTGTATAGACCCAAACCGATCATCAGCGTTGATTTTTCACTCGAAATATGTTTGTGGAAGGAAACTGGCATGTTGAAGTTTGCTCTGGGGCCAGAGTCAATCGAACTGAGCCACTCCTTTGTGTTGACCCATTGCCTCCAAGTTGCCCAATTTTTCGCTTCAAAAAAGTTCAAATCAGAGGTGGCTCCAAACCGGACACGTTTTAGAGTGCCCGTCAAATTCACTCTGGGTCTGAAATTAGGTAATTGCTATCGCTCCACGACGGCCAGTACAGAGTAACAATAAGCCTTGTGTGTGCTTCCATTAGTTTTGATTGGTATGCGGTGCTTTATTGGCGAGAGGCGAGCCGCTGTTTACCTGCGACAAGAAGTTGATTTTTCGAAAGTCGTAAAACTCAAGTCGCAGTGCGAAGCAACACGTCAAAAACTCACCTGCTTGATATGGCGCTTCTGGTCATCGCAGAGCCATGAAATTTTGGCTCGGAGTATAACACATCGTAGTCTCACTGTGACATATGTTTTCTAATCAAAATACCAAGAGAGAAAGTGATTATTGAGTCCGTTCCGGTTTGCAACCGGTGTCCTATTTGAAACCGTCGCCTCTACCATGCATCACTCAGTCCATGTGGCATGTCACCATGTGCATGCATGCTGCCTCCATGGAGCTGAGTGCCACTTGATTTTTGAGTGTGTTCACTTGAGGCGAGCTCACAAAGAAGCAAAATGGGCTCAGCAGTTTTCTCAAGTCCAGCTTGGAACCGAAGGAGAAGGGGAACAATCCCGTGAGGTGCATGAGCACAGTGGCACAAGCACAGACCGGGCCATCGACTCAGCGATAAGCATTCCATCGTGGCTGCGTAGAATCACTCACTCCAAGCATTGCAGTCCCCATGTGTTGTCATTCTAGTGGAACCAATCTGATTATTTTGTCCATTGTTTCGTCCAGTTCACAGGAACTGTTTATCCTTCAGTACTGCCAGCCGTTGTCTTCCTAGGATCTAGCTTCCCTCGTATTTGGGCCAAGTAGGAATTGCGTTTTGCTTCCAGCTTCCACTATTTTTTCCACCTGTTTGCCTGGAACTGTCGACAAATGACTGCGTTATTCATTTTCGAAACAAATAAACCCTGCACAAGTCTGCCTTGGCTGTGTTGGCGATGTGGATAATTGCTGACAGAGGCTCTCCGTTGTCATCTAGCTGAGCTTTCCAGACAGCTCCCGCGTCCAATGGCGAAGCCGTTAGTTTTGCTGAGCGGCTCGTCTCATTGTTTGGCACAGTCACGTACGCTGGTGCCAAGACAATGGCGTGGCGGAGTGGGAATGCTTTCCCTTGGCGTGCTGGCTGGCATGCTGTGTGGCTCACTGTTGCTGCTAGTCCAGAGCCCCAGCGACAGTGGAACAGCGCAGCGATGCAGCAACGGAGTATTTCACGGGGGCAGCCCAGAGAGACAGCAGGCCGACGGTGGCCTGGTTTCATTCCTAGAGCTGGAGAATGAAGGGAATAAACTGCAAAAGGAAGAAGAGAAGGGTAATGGACTGACTGACCTGGAGCAGAAGGAGAACGGCAAAGCAATGCGCAAAGGCCAAGACGACTGGGACGACACTGATGACCTCTCACAACGGGCACGAACGTCACCGCCTGCAGCGGCTCTCGCCGGGGAGGCTGCGTGTGTGTCGTCGGTGCCGTCCGCTCTGCCGTCCGATTACGACATGTACCGGTCGGCTCTGCCGGACTCCGTGCGCCCCCTCCATCTTGTCTTGATCGGCGTCATGACGACCGCCAAGTTTGTGGACACGCGTGCCGTTGCCGGTTATCGTACGTGGGGTCGTCACTTTGATCACCTGGTGTACTTCAGCTCCGAGGGCACGGAGAGCAAGTACGGCTTGCCTGTGGTCGGTCTGAACGGCATTGACGATGAGTACCCACCGCAACGCAAGGCGTTTGCAATGCTGCGCTACTTTGCCGTTCACTTCAGTGACACGTACTCGTTCTTCGTGCGTTTGGATGACGATGTGTATGTGAGAACCAGTCGCCTGCAGCGTGTGCTGTCCATGCTGAATCGAGAAGCTGATCTCTACATTGGCCAGCCGGGTGAAGGTAGGATGGTCTTCAGGCCACCGACGGGTGTTGTGTGTGCTTGTGTGTGTGAGGGGGGGGGGGGGGGGGGGGGGAGGGGTATGTGTGTGTGTGTGTGCGTGTGTGTATCTGCCGTGCCGTGCGTGCATGTGTCTGTGGCTGCGTGTGCGCTCGTGTGTTCGTGTATTTGTATGGGCAGGTTTAAAAGTAGATGTTGTACGTGTATGTATACCGGAGGATGTACCCAGCGTGCTGACAGTGCTCAATACCATGGCGGAGGCAGAGCGTAATACACAACACTGTTGCCTGATTATTGCGAGAGCATGAAACTTGAAGTAGCAGCAAACAAGCCTTGATTGTCCTTGTTGTTCTGTTCTGTACGTGTACTTGAGTATGTTTAAAAAGAGAGAGCAAAGGTTTAAATGTTATCCGTGTGTAGTGACAGTCTAACACTAACCATTATACTCAAGCATGATACTGGTGAGTCCTCAGGTCTGAGAAATTGTAAACCTTTGGTCCTCTCTTTTTAATCGTAACCCTTGCTGCAGGGGCATCGGACACGGTACGGTCACTACGGTATTGACCGTACCACTTTTTGCCCCAGGTACCCTGTGAATCAATAAAATACACTGATTTGGGCTCTAAATTTCCGAAAATGTCGGTTTTAGCAACCCCTCCCCCACGAGAACATTGTACTTCGGATGGCTGACTCTCTCTCTCTCTTTCTCTCTCTCTCTCTCTCTCTCCCTCTCTCTCTCTCTCTCTCTCTTTCTCTCGCGCTCTCTCTCTCGCTCTCTCTCTCCCGCTCTCTCTCTCACTCTCTCCTATTACAGGTAATAAGAAGGAGAAGAAGACACTGGGAGTGCAGACGTGGCGCTACTGTATGGGTGGTCCTGGCGTTGTGTACAGCCGATCTGTACTCAAGAAGTTACGCTCCCACGTGGACTATTGCTTGCGGTGAGTACCCAGTACTGTACAGACAGAAACATTTTGTCGGTCAATAATTTCGTCCATCTCCAAAGAAAGGGAGTTTGTCCGGTTGTAAATGTCGTCCATGGATCATAAGAATGTATTGAAATGCTGGACAAATCGACATTAGTCCGGCATTAAATTTAGTCCGAAAGCTCCTTGGACGAAAAAGACGAAATTAAATTCCAGACGAATATAACCAGATATTATCTGGTTATACAGTCCTCTAATTTCAGAAATTTTAGGTGCTCAATATTTTAGGTATGAGAGCAGAAGGCCAAGTTTGGTGAATGGAAATCTTAGGTACAGAGAAGCCATTCCGTATCGGATGATGTGTGTTCCTTTTCGTGCCTCTATTGAAATTTTAGGTGTGAAAGAGATGCACCGAAAGTGTCAAAAATAAAAGTACTCTGAATATTTGTAAAATTAGTATTACAGTACCTTTTTAAAGCTGTGCACCCCGCAGGCCACCACCATTTGTTACACCGAATACAGTATTTTCCGGAGTTTAAGCCCCACTGGAGGGTAAGCTGCAGGCCCTTTTTTTTGCCACGAAATGCAGGCATCTATCCTATTTATCACCGTCTATTTGATCATCGGAGTATAAGCCGCATCCCCCCCCCCCCCCCCCATTTTTTCGGGTGAATTTTGGGTGTTCAAAGTGCGGCTTATACTCCGGAAAATACGGTATTGTGCTGTGGAAACAGGAATTCTCTTCCAGCAATGCATATACATGTAATAGTGAGGCGGTCACTGCCGGTCAGTGAGGGAAGCACCCTGCCTAGCAGCTCTACTGTGAAGACGACTTTACGTGAGGAGTGTCTCGTGAAAATCGGCTAGGAAAATGTTTTCACGTAGATTCGCTCTAGTCTCCTAATTATTTTCTTCCATCAATGCCCGCCACGCTAATGTTATCCATCGCTATAGTTTGTTATGCGCTGTACTTGTACCCAGGTTTTTTGCAAATACAGGTGGAATCCTGATAATTCGAATATGGCTTAATTCGAACATACCGCTTAAAGGGGAAGTATACCCTAAAATCAAATTTTCACCAGTTGTAGTCTTCGGGGTGCTGAGTCGAATGGTCTTGGTCCGAGGAAGCTGAGACGCTCCCTTCCTACTTGAATCCCAATCGAACTCGCGCACTTCCACCGAAACTGGGTGACTGCGCCCTACTAGATGGGGATTTGTATGCAAAATCTCACTAAAAGCGCCATTTCGTTCTTATAAAAGCACGGATGACCGCGATTGGCCCATATGTTGTAGTCTTTTGGACGCTGAGTCGACTGGTTTTGGTCCGAAAAGGCTGCGATGCAGCGTTCCTCCTTTATTCCCAATCGAACATGGTTGAACAAGCGGTCACGTGCTCCTGCGTACACCAGTCACCTGGTCACCGTGCCGGCAGGGTACAACTTACTAGCCTGTTTGACCTTTTTTGGGTGCAGTCCTGTCACTCGAGTTGAACTCGAGTTGAACCTTGGTGTGAAAGTTGTCGCCTGCTGGCGCGGTGACCAGGTGATTTGGGCACCCAGGAGCACGTGACCGCTTGTTCAACCATGTTCGATTGGGAATAAAGGAGGAACGCTGCATCGCAGCCTTTTCGGACCAAAACCAGTCGACTCAGCGCCCAAAAGACTACAACATATGGGCCAATCGCGGTCATCCGGGCTTTTATAAGAACGAAATGGCGCTTTTAGTGAGATTTTGCATACAAATCCCCATCTAGTAGGGCGCAGTCACCCAGTTTCGGTGGAAGTGCGCGAGTTCGATTGGGATTCAAGTAGGAAGGGAGCGTCTCAGCTTCCTCGGACCAAGACCATTCGACTCAGCACCCAAAAGACTACAACTGGTGAAAATTTGATTTTAGGGTATACTTCCCCTTTAACTAGACGTTTTTCCAGGACCGATTTCTGTCAATACGATTCCCACATAAAATTTTCTGATAATTCGAACCTCGAACCGGACATGTCCCGGTTAATTCGAAGTTCCACGGATTCCACTTACATAGAAAATGTGTGGGATTTGTGCTGATAATTCGAAGTTAGCAAAGTGTAATTCGAAGTTCACTGTACACTGTACTGGTCAGTGCAGTTTGCATGAGCTGGCTCTGCCTGTCAGTTCAGTATCCGTGAGATCTGTGTCTAAGGTCCATAGCGCAACTCTGCGTGACCATGGGAGCATTTTGACATACATATTGTGTTGTGGGTTCATGTTTGGATAATTAGAATGTCCGGCTAATTAGAAGTTTTTTTCTGGCATTTGGAGGTTCAAATTATCAGGATTCTACCTGCACTAGTACAGTCCACTTCGCTAATAACGACTGCGGATATAACGACAATTCGCGAATGACGACAGAATTTCCATGCCCAGAACAAAGTCCCATCCAACTGTAATAAATATAATGAGACTTCGGTTATAACGACACTTCGCGAATAAGGACACTTTTCTGATGCCCCGCCGATTGTCGTTATACACAAATTTGACTGTACAATGTGAATATTCATTGGTTTGAGGAAACTAGTACATTGAAACATTGATTATTCGCACATCGACTATTCGGATGATCAATTCTCCGAAATGGCTACCCCTCCAAAAAAAGAAGAAAAAAGAAAGAATTGAAAACGGGCTGGAAGACACAGGACTTGTGTTCAGCAGTGCGGTCGTTTATACTCAATAGATCTACCGGGCACGTGGGTGTGGGCGTGTGTCGGTGGGTGTGGGTGTGGGCGTGTGTCGGTGGGTGTGGGTGTGGGCGTGTGTCGGTGGGTGTGGGTGTGGGTGTGGGTGTGGGCGTGTGTCGGTGGGTGTGGGCGTGTGTCGGTGGGTGTGGGCGTGTGTCGGTGGGTGTGGGTGTGGGCGTGTGTCGGTGGGTGTGGGTGTGGGCGTGTGTCGGTGGGTGTGGGTGTGGGCGTGTGTCGGTGGGTGTGGGTGTTGCTGGTGTGCCCGCCGATGCAGGGTAGATCTTGTCTCGTACGCATATCCGATGGTGAGACTGCAGCGCATGCATGTACGGTACCCACTGCATGAGCCCTATGCCTATGCTGCACGCTTATCTGTGACACCGCTCTCACTATCCGCACTTTCCCACCAGCTGCACCGTCTGAATGGTATCTGCCGTGGAGGGCTCGGATAATCAGAATTTATCTGTTTATTTATTCAACATCTCCTGGCTCATCGTAAGGCTGCCAATATTTATGAAAAGTCTGGTGGTAGCCAACCACGGCAAACTAAATAATAAGGAGAGAAACAAAGGAGAGTACTGCAAGGAGATGCATGACGAATATACCTAAATGAATACTGCCATGTACGAAAATAGTGGTAGCATCTTCGGCGGTGATTTTATAGAAAGGTCGAACTTACTTTCAATGAACTTCTCGTGTGCTGTGGATGGCAGTCGCGAGTCGGTCTAGTGTTGAGTCAAGTCGGCGGAAAAGCACGAGCTCCGCTGTGGGGAGCGAACAGCTTTCTAATACTGTCGTGTTCCTTTGCGTTGTTTCCTGCTCGCTGTTTCTTGTTTGCTGTTTGCTGTCGGCCGTTCACAGGTATCTGATGCAGAGTACTCATGAAGATGTGGAGGTTGGTCGCTGTCTTCACGAACGATTGGGCATTAGCTGCTCATGGAATGCCGAGGTGAGTGAATGCTGCCTCTTAGTGTAGCATCGAAAAGGCAAATGCTGCATGCGCATGTCTGTGTGTGTGTGTGTGTGTGTGTGTGTGTGTGTGTGTGTGTGTGTGTTTGTGTGTGTGTGTGTGTGTGTGTGTGTGTGTGTGTGTGTGTGTGTGTGTATGTGTGTGTGTGTGTGTGTGTCCCATATGGTGCAGTGGTATGTGCAGCGATTTCCAATCGATAGGTTGCGGGTTCGATTCCCGACGATTATGGTCACACACGTCTTTCTTCTCTTTCTCAGACTCTTCCTGACTTTTCTTTCATTCTCCTGGGTGGTTACCAACAGCCAGTGCATGCCGGAGTATGTGGTGTGATGTGTGTGCGGGAAAAAAGAAGAAAAAAAAGACCAAAAAGTAGGGATTCACTGGCCAGAAAAAAGCCACTTCAAAGCTGTGTGGTGTAGACCAGGCTGAATAGTGGTGGTCAATTCTTCAGCCTTGCAAGCTGTTGAATGGTGCAATCCCAGCACAAGTTGCTATGGCTTCTGCTGTAGCATCGCTATCATCGCCTCTGGCGATGGGCGTCCAATGGTCAATGGTCAATGGTGTGTGTGTGTGGTCTAGGTGTTCATGAATGTCATGAACTTTTTACAGTCATACTCCTAAATGTACTAGAATGGGTTGTACCTGCCCAAAACTTGCCCCGCAAAAAGGTGATGACCATCTTCAATGCATACTCAGTACTAGTACCTCCCATTGCTGTTAAAGGGGAAGTTAAGGCAAAAATTAAAATTTCACCAGTTGTAGTCTTCGGGGTGCTGAGTCGAATGGTCTTGGTCCGAGGAAGCTGAGACGCTCCCTTCCTACTTGAATCCCAATCGAACTCGCGCACTTCCACCGAAACTGGGTGACTGCGCCCTGCGAGATGGGGATTTGTATGCAAAATGTCACTAAAAGCGCCATTTCGTTCTTATAAAAGCACGGATGACCGCGATTGGCCCATATGTTGTAGTCTTTTGGACGCTGAGTCGACTGGTTTTGGTCCGAAAAGGCTGCGATGCAGCGTTCCTCCTTTATTCCCAATCGAACATGGTTGAACAAGTGGTCACGTGCTCCTGGGTGCCCAAATCACCTGGTCACCACGCCAGCAGGTGACAACTTTCACACCAAGGTTCAACTCGAGTTCAACTCGAGTGACAGGACTGCACCCAAAAAAGGTCAAACAGGCTAGTAAGTTGTACCCTGCAGGCACGGTGACCAGGTGACTGGCGTACGCAGGAGCACGTGACCGCTTGTTCAACCATGTTCGATTGGGAATAAAGGCGGAACGCTGCATCGCAGCCTTTTCGGACCAAAACCAGTCGAGTCAGCGTCCAAAAGACTACAACATATGGGCCAATCGCGGTCATCCGTGCTTTTATAAGAACGAAATAGCGCTTTTAGTGACATTTTGCATACAAATCCCCATCTCGTAGGGCGCAGTCACCCAGTTTCGGTGGAAGTGCGCGAGTTCGATTGGGATTCAAGTAGGAAGGGAGCGTCTCAGCTTCCTCGGACCACGACCATTCGACTCAGCACCCCGAAGACTACAACTGGTGAAATTTTAATTTTTGCCTGAACTTCCCCTTTAAAGGGGAAGTAAACCCTAAAATCAAATTTTCACCAGTTGTAGTCTTCGGGGTGCTGAGTCGAATGGTCTTGGTCCGAAGAAGCTGAGACGCTCCCTTCCTCCTTTATTTCCAATCGAACTCGCGCACTTCCACCGAAACTGGGTGACTGCGCCCTACTAGATAGGGATTTGTATGGAAAAGTAACTAAAAACGCCGTTTCGTTCTAATAAAAGCGCGGATGACCGCGATTGGCCCATATGTTGTAGTCTTTTGGCCGCTGAGTCGACTGGTTTTGGTCCGAAAAGGCTGCGATGCAGCGTTCGGCCCTTATCCCAACACGGTTGAGTAAGCGGTCACGTGCTCATGCGTACATCAGTCGCCTGGTCACCTTGCCTGCAGGCTACAATTTTCACATCAAAGTTCAACTCAAAGGTTCAAAGCAGGGAGTCGTAAGAGGCTTTTACGACTCCCTGGTTCAAAGGTTCAACTCGAGTGACATAAACGGGCCCAAACAGGCTGTAAATGAGCATGTGACCGCTTACTCAACCGTGTTCGATTGGGAATAAGGGCCGAACGCTGCATCGCAGCCTTTTCGGACCAAAACCAGTTGACTCAGGGGCCAAAAGACTACAACATATGGACCAATCGCAGTCATCCGCGCTTTTATTAGAACGAAACGGCGTTTTTAGTTACTTTTTCCATACAAATCCCTATCTAGTAGGGCGCAGTCACCCAGTTTCAGTGGAAGTGCGCGAGTTCGATTGGGAATAAAGGAGGGAGGGAACGTCTCAGCTTCCTCGGACCAAGACCATTCGACTCAGCACCCCGAAGACTACAACTGGTGAAAATTTGATTTTATGGTATACTTCCCCTTCAACAGTCCCATCCTTTGCTCCTGTGTGGTTTTGTATCTGACTGAAGTAAAGCTGCGTTCCCAACTGGCCCGTGGACTTGGTACGCTTGCGGTTCATGCGTGCCCAAACGCGCGCTCAGGCTTTCACGAAAAAAAAGGATTTTGACTCGTATTCAGGGCGTGTGACGCCTTCGAGTACTAATTTTTTGACCCCACCAGTGAAAGTGAGTGGCATATACGCTGGTATGCGCCTGATGCGTGCTGAAAATTCCAACATGTTTGATTTTCCATTTCGGCGCGTTTCCGTACGCATGGCGCCCCAAAAGCCAGCAAAATACGCACAAACGCGTGGCTGATGCAGTGTGTATTAAAGCCTGCGTTTATGTATGTGTTTGTGTGCGTGTGCGCACGTGTGTTTACGTGTGTGTGTGTGTGTGTGTATATGTGTGTGTGTGTGTGTGTGTGTGTGTGTGTGTGTGTGTGTGTGTGTGTGTGTGTGTGTGTGTGTGTGTGTGTGTGTGTGTGTGTGTGTGTGTGTGTGTGTGTGTGTGTGTGTGTGTGTGTGTGTGTGTGTGTGTGTGTGTGTGCAGATGGCCAAACTGTTCTTCCATGGCTTCAGCAATAGCATGATCTACTCGAATCAAGTTCACTCCAAACACCTTCGCTACGCCGTCACCATCCATCCTCTCAAAGATCCAAAACTTGTCTACAAACTGCATCATTTCTACCTGAGCAAGGAGATCCTTCTGAAAGAGAACGAGCTGGCACTGATGAATACATCAGTGGTTGATCTCGTACCGTTCCTGAAGCAGGCTACCATTGAGGACCTTGCCAAGCAGGAGATTGAACGCCGACGTCAGGCCAACGATCGTACGCTGCAGCTACCGTGGCTGTCGGCGTACCGCAGTGCTCGCTTCAGCCCCAAGCACGTCATGGCACACTTCACGCCCTACATTTACCGGTCGGCGCGCGCGCCCTCTCTGCCGCAGAACGACTTTCGCGGCGGCCCCTACCGCTCTTCTCTCAAGATGACGCTCGGCAAGATGGTGTACCAGCGGAGCCGCGCCAATCGCAAGGTGCGCTTCCACTACACACGCCTGAACGAGGGCTTCATGGCCTACGATCCCGTGCTCGGTTATCGGCTGGTGGCTGACAGTCAGATCTCGGAGCATCGGCGCGACACGGGCGTGCACGATCGCACCGAGCAAATTGAGGTGTACCAGCGTTTCAACTCTCTCATGTACTCCAAGGAACGTAGCAGTGTGCTCAGCTCCACCGAACTGGTGACTATAGTCGTTGTAGTCTCGGCTGCTCGTGCAGAACGCTTCGACGGCTTCGTTGACTCCATTAATAGCCTACTGGAGGAGCCGGGTGTCGTCAGGAAGCGTGTACGTCTGTTTGTCACCCTGTGTTTGCTGCAGACCAAGTCCGCATCTCTGCCTGCCGCCAAGGTCAAACAGGCCAAGGAGCAGGTGCGGAGTGGATTGGCGCACCTGGCGGAGCTACAGCCAAAGCTGACCGTTCGCCGCAGCACGTATCCGGGACGTATGTCGGCCGAGTTTGCGCTACGCACGATGCGTGACTCCTACAACATCTCCTGGTGGTCCGACCTGAATGCCGCCAGCGACGATCTGGTCCTGATCGTGGACGAGAGCGTTCGCTTTCGCGCCGGCCTGCTGCAGCGCTGCCGTCTGAACGCCGTCAGCAGAACGTCCGTCTACTTCCCCATCGTATTCAGCGTGTACCCGGAGAGCGTGTCACGACGTCGCACGCCCTTCACCTACGCATTCACCAGCAGCGCCGGAACGTGGCTGGACGACTACTACGGCGTCGGCTGCTTTCACGCGCGCGACCTCAACGTCACCGCCAAGGTCTTCGGCCTGGCGCCGCTATGGGAGGAGGAAGAACTGGCCACGCTCGCCAGCGATGTGGTAAGTCAGGGCCTGGATAGTATGCGCGCGCCCGATCCGGACGTGTACCGCGAGCACGTGCACCTGTCGACGTGCGACCGTATCCGCGAGTCCAAGCTACGCTACCATTGCTCGTGGCAGACGTCCAACCGCATCGGAACCAAGCAGCAGCTGCTCAACTGGCTGGGTGCGAACAATCACGAAGAGATCAAGGAGAACTGGTTAGCGATTGCAAACTCTCAGAGAGACTTGTACGAGCATGACCCGCTTGCCGTGCTCTAGAACCTTGCTAGCTAGAAAGGACATTGCAAGAACGACGAAACACGTCGTCTCTTGTCTCGTTTCTGTCGTTTGGAAACTTGACTCGTTGTATTGCCAACCAGCAGCGTATTGCCCTACGCCGTCATGCCAGTGTGTTGGATTTGTCTTCGTCGTCATGCCGACGTGCTGGATTAGTCTTCGTCGTCATGCCAGTGTGTTGAATTCGTCTTCGTTGTGATGCTGGCGTGTTGGATTAGTCTTCGTCGTCATGCTGGCATAGTTGTCATGGCTATACACTTATCCGTTAGAGAGATATGATATGTTAGCGGCTGTGATGTCATCACCGTCGCATGCTTGTGTGGGCTGTCGCACGACTATGCAGCATGGCCAAGCACGCTGGGACGAGGATCACCGCCGCCTTCACGATTCCTGGCGCTGCTGTTGCAGGCAAGTATCGCTGCAGGGTCTGTGAGGCGCTGCATTAGCTGCAGGGTCTGTGAGGCACGTCCATTGCTGCCAACGTGCGCACGCGTGCGTGGCAAGTCAGTCCTAGGTCATATGTAATCGTCTGCATATGCACGTCAGTTGAATGTGTACACCTGCCAAGAAGGTGATGTAACATTGTGCTGTCGTGGTGCCATGGACAATTCAAATCTGTTCGGTCACTGAGCCGGGCTTGGACGTGAGGTGCGTGTGTTAGTGCTAGGCGCGTTGAGTAGAAATTAGTGCGTAACGTCTTGATATTAGGTCGCTTGTGTGCTGCTGCTCTCACTGTCGCCTGTACATTGGCTCTTCCAGCGCACGCACGCACACACACACACACACACACACACACACACACACACACACACACACACACACACGTGCGCTAGATAGGTCTCGCTGGCGTGGAAGATATTCCGAACGCTTCCGCAGCCCGGACACAACTGTGCTGGCATGTGTGTAGTTGATACCCATGGATATCCTGTGCGCACGAAGCGTGCTACGCTATCGCCATCGCTTCCTGCCCACGCGATCCCTGTGCACACCGGCTACTGTTTGCTCATCCTGACAGCTCCAGCTCCCTGGTGGGGTGAGAGTTTGTGCCCCAGTCGGGTGGTGAGAGAGTGCGCTGTACATCCCCCAGTCAGACGGTGCCAAGCCATGCAACTCTAGTGTGGCAGTCGTGTTGCGTGTAGGGGTCTAACTGCCGTCACACGCCACATGGAGGAGCTGTGCTGTAACACTATACATAGTCTGGCCGCACAATGCCCAGCAGACTGGCCGGTGTGTTTTTGCTGCCTGTGCTGAGTGTGGCCGCTTTTGCTGTCGTTTTGCTGCCGCAGTTGGTGTCGGTGTGTGATGCCGACTCAGTGGTCATGGTGACTCGGTGGTCATGGCGACGCTTAGTAGGTACAAGTACGGTCGGTGTGCAGTCAACACGAAAGCACGCTGTCGCAATAGGCGGCCTTTGAATCGTGTACATGAGGACCTGTGCCCCGCCATTTTAGTCTTGGTGTGGCTACTGGTGGCCTGATGTACGCGCGGCGACTTCCTCTCGCTCCGATTGCTGTTTTCAATTTTCGACTATTTTCCCGACTATCTGCCACCCCACCGGCAGCTCTTGCCAGAGAATTTCGCTGGATTCAATTGCACTGTATTTATAACCTTCTGTGATGTTTAGGTTTTTACGTGACCAGGATCTCTATTCCTCTTGATACGATGTTGAAATGTGACATGCTTCTATTATTTTTAGCTTGAATCACAGGGTGCTTATTTTTTTCCACACTCCGATCCGATCCCACTAATTTTACTAATTTTACTCCTTTCAAGTATTTTATTTTTTCATTCAGCGATATACCTGTTGTCACTGTCCTCTTTGTTCGTTTGGTTTCCTTCTAATGGACAAGATCGGCATGCGTTTGTGTGTGTGGGTGGGTGGGTGCTTTTATTTTATTTTTCATTCAGCGATAGAGCTGTTTTCACTGTCCTCTTTGTTCATTTGGGTTCCTTCTCCTAATGGACAAGATTGTTTGTGTGGGTGGGTGGGTGCTTTTGTGTGTGTGTGTGTGGGGGGGGGGGGGGGGGTATATGTGTGTGTGGGTGTGTATGTGCTGTGGTAGTGGATGCTGGGGTTGTTGATGCTGGGGTTGTTGATGCTGCTCCTGCTGCTGAGCGGTGGTCACCTTGTGTCCGCAGTCCATGTCTAGAAGCAACGGTGTTCCAACACCAGTCCTGTATCTTCCCATGTGTCACCTTTTCCAATTATTTCCTTTTCTTCCCGCATGTTCTGCCACATAGAAACCAGAACACGTTTGTGCCGCTTTGTACTCTGCTGCTTCACATGAGCACTGCTCACGCATTTGTTACTGCTTTTCTACCAGTAACTGTCTACGTGTTACCACTAACAACACGTCGTATCACTATGATTCACTAGGCATTTGAACTTTATTTTTTACAAACTACTGTCTTGAGAGCCACCGTCGTCGGCTAGGGAACGGCGATAGCACGCCAAGATTTCTTCATGTGAAGCTGTGCGTGTTTGTGGGTGGGTGGAGGGGGTGCATGTGTGTGTGTGTGATTTTATGATTTATGATTTATCCATGGCAACTGCTTTATCCATGGCAACGCTCAAGCCGCGGGAAACACAAGGTAAACACCCCGTGGAAAACAAAATCTGGAACATGCGCTTTCGGTTCGTGCTGCATGCGGTGGACGCATGCAGCCAACGTTTCTCCAAAGCAACAAGGCATGCTTAGTCGGCCGGATCGGCCTAATGCTTAGCAGTCATGGAGAAAATCACGTAGAGCAAAACACAACCGTAATTTTTACATATGAAAATTACGTGCAGTTCCTACGTTATTTTCATACGTACCGGTAATTATGTAGAGCGAAACCTCCCTATTGAGAAACATCCCAGAAAATCTAACCCTGCTTTTGCTCTGAAACAGTGCATTGACCGATGGCTATGTGCATCCAGACGTCATTGACCGCCAGTGGTCGAAATTCGAACTCAGTGCCGGGGTATTCCCCTTGTCGGACATTGCGGGTCATGAGATTTACCACCTCACCCTCACCGTGCATGCATGCCGCGGCATTTGTCACCCTGCTGGTGTAATCACTATAATCAAGAGTACATAACCCCCCAGAGTGTGCAACGCCTGATCCAGCTCTGTATAGGGTCTTGGTCGAGCGGAATCGGATCTTTGCGTCATAATACCGTACACATCTGAGGGGAACCCGGGGAGTCGCGGGTACTCTCGGATCAAAAACAATGGTGCCCTGCCTCGAGACCGGCCTTGCGCTGGTGTGGAGTGTACGCATGACATCAGAAAATCCGATTCCGCTCGACCAAGACCCTATGCAGAGCTGGATCGGCGTTGCACACTCTGAGGGGGGGGGGGGGGTATGTACTCTTGCTATAATCAGTCATGGCGGTGGCCTGGCACGAGCCAAACTTCTCTAAGCTGGTTGTGTTTCTCAACCCACTTGTAAGCCGGTTGTAACGTGGATGTGCAGACTTTACTTCTTCTTCTTCTTTAACAGGGATTTCACTGAACACTTGAGAGGAGGGATAAAGGATAAGCATCAGCATTTGGCCCTGTACAGACTATCGTAACCTTTCTACAATGTATACATCCACTAACGAGAGTCACAGTGTTTATAATATAACTCGAAATGGCTGTGTGAAGGAATTCAGTGTCAACGGCTGCATCGCTTTGCTGGTGGTATGCTGTGGCAATGTGTCGAGGTCGGCTGGAAAGCGGAGTTTAATATGTTGTGTTGGTTGTTGAGATGAAGGAGACCAAGAACTCTGCAATACCACTCTCGTTGCTCCACTGAGGGAACGCCGTACCCCACAGGTTGTTGTAAAGGTTAAAATGCCATCCGCCGGTGAGATCTGGCTGTGTGTTGCCGTCGTAGTCTAGTAGGTGATCGATATCGCCAGGTGCCACGAGCGGTGTATGCAGAGTAGCAATGTCGATAATTTCCTCGACACCGGCGTAACGCACACCCTTACCGACCGCGTGTAAGTGGCGTGTTCCGTCGACCACCACATCTAGCGGCGACACATCATGTCCCAGTACGTCCATGCGCCAGAGACTGGCGTTCCGAACGACCGGGGCGAACGAGAGGAACATTGCCTCGGCAAGGCGAGTGGCCGGTTTATCCTTCCACACCAGCTTTGTATAGACCTGTATGTGATCGCTTCCACTGCTGTGGTCTATACCAGCACCGGCACTGAACACCAGTGTATCATCGTCATGCTGCTGCTGTTGTCCACGCTGCTGTGCATGCGAGTGAAATATGTCGTTGCCATGCAGGTCGTCCACTGGCTGTTGGCTGCCGCTGGTCGGTGCATGCTGTGAAGTCGTGATGACGTACGTAAGGCTGAGGTATCGTGGCGCGCCGTACTTTGCGTGCGTTTCCTCGGGCAGCGACAGGGTGGCCGTGAAGTGGCATGCGTCGTCGTCACCGGTCACCGCTGCCGTGAAGTTGACCACCCTGGGCATCCAGACTGCAGACGTAGCATTCGCCGTCTCCATGCCGGATTTGCTGAAGTCGGGGCACGGCGGTCCGCACCCTGGGTTGTAGCCACGGTTAAAGTTATCAAAGTCGACCATGCTGTAGGTGCGATAGCGAAACACACCCATGCTGCCGTTCGGCGCACCCAGCCATTCTCTCTTGGACAGCGTATCCGTGAGTGAGATCATTGAGCCGTCGGTGATGTTGAATTGCACGCTGAAACGCCCGAGGCACGTGTACGGCGTACTCTTCGGCCGCTCGGAGATTTGCACGCGATCATTGCTGTTGTCATGGTGATGCTGTGAGCTGTAAGGTGGTTGGCGGGATGTGTCGGCGTTCTTTAATGCCAGTAGTCTAGTTTTTAGTTTGCGATTGAATTGCAACCATTCGGTGCCGTGACGATCGGTGCTGTCAGTCGAAGATGAGTGCAAAACTGTGGAGCGAATAGACGATGGCGCACAGAACTCATTCTGCTCCTGCCACTCGCGCTCCAGTCTGTGATAGTCGCTGCGATTACGCACGGCGTAGAACTCGGCATTCGACCAGTTTCCATGGGTTGTGCTGCGCAACTGGGGCAAGTACTGTCCCACACTCAAGCCCCAATTGTGTTCCATCGGCTTCATCAGCCTGTACCGGTACTCCTCCAAATATGGGCTTGCCTCGTCGAGGTCGCCCGCGGTGATGGCTTCGTTGATCGTAGAGGTAGCGGTGCGGTACGCAGCAATGCGGTAGGGGTCTGCAGGGGCTCCGTACAGCCACGAGTCACCAATCTCCCCGCTGATCACCGGCAAGTCTTGCTTCACGCTGGCCAGTAGCTGCGTGTAGGCGTCCAGCGGACGCTCCACGTTGATCTTGGCGTTGGGATACCTGGCTCTGAGCGCGTCCCAGAAGGCCAGGACCTGCGCTGCACTTGGAGGCTCTGCGTTGTCACTCGTGTACATGAACACGAGCGCAGTGTCAGCAGCCGCATCAACGCGAATCCGTTCTCCGTAGGTCGGTTCGGCCATGACGATCACTTCCGTGCCGCTGGCCACGTGCTGCCAACGGAACACGCTCGGAATCGACGGGAACATACACGCGCCGTTGTACCCAATGTGCAGCGCCTGCACTCCGCGACTCGCCAAATATGGCACCACCGATCTGCTCATCCCGGGAACGTCGGTGTGTTTACCGCACAGCACTCCGTTCTTCTGGCCCAGCATTCCGTTCAGAGTCTCGGCTATGCCCAACGACCAGTTGAAATGTTTCGACTCGTACAGTTCGGTGAGAATGTTTAGCGATAGCGCGTGCCAGCTGATATCGCCCCGCTGAACGGCCACCGTGAAGTCCGCTATCTGCTGCTCTGAGCGCGGTGTGTGCGCGCATCCTGCGGCATTGGTCAGATACTCGTGCACCAGCCATGGGAACTCGGTGTACACGAAGCGTGCCTCCGTGCTAAGACGTCGCAGATCGGCCGCTGTGCGCATGGCCTTGGGGAAGTGATCGTTGAAGTAGAGATCGCAGACGTTCCGAGCTCCGTCAGTGAAGCCCACGTCTAGATGCGTCATGTACACGAGATGGATGTCAGTGAGAGTGGTATCGGGTCTCCACCACACAGCTTTGTTGTCAAAGTCGATCTCGGAGCACTGCCATTTGACGGTGCCCCAAACTCGCACTGTACGGTTCATGCTGGTGTAATTGAACTCCATGATAATGCGCCATGTCGACGGGTCCACAACGCCCGTAGCGTGACTCCATCCCAGCTTAGTGCCCTTCGGCACGAACACAACCGTAGCGGACACGTTCCAGTCGGTTTTCTGAACATTATAGATCACACCTGAACCGTCTCTGTAGTCTGCGCTCATGTCACAAGGTGCCTCAGAGTCCGCATTTGCATTGGGTACAGCTGCATCAGCGATGGATGCAAACTGCAACACCCAACAGCACACAAGTCCGGCCCAGATCAATGGCACGAGTGGAGACGCCATGGAGCAGGTTCAAGGAGTGCTCTTCGAAGCGGCGAAGTACTACAGGGTAGCGTTGGACTATCGCAAATCGGTTTCGTGGTCGGAACGGTCGATAGTTTGGTTATCAGGAGGTAGCCATTATCTCTGTCTCTCTCTGCATGCCCTTGGCCCTCTGTGCTTTTCTACACCAGCCATGCAGTGTCCTTCGCTTTTCATTCATTCTTCCTCCCCCACTGGCCCCAGACACCTGGACACTGAGTATGAGACAGATTCTACTCCGGAGCTCCGCTCGAGTTCGCCTAGATAATTTGCGGTAAAAATTTTGCTGCTAAATCATCGATATTAATTTTCGATGAGCTAGCGCTATCTTGGCACTACAACTTACAAGTACAACGCGTTAACGAGCTATAATTATTACCGGTATGCATGTTTGTTGCTTCATTTCTCCTGAAAAAACGATTGTTAACCTACTTCCTGTGCGTTTCATGAAAATCGCTCCATCGGTTTCTCAACCTAGGTTTTCACACACATATGCCCCGAGTTCTTCCCAAACCGGTGATCCACAGTAAATCCCAGTGATATTTCAGAGAAATGAATATCCTTTGCGGTGTACCGTGCTGAACGGGTAAGAAAACAAGACTATCAGGCATCACTTCTACCCAGGATCTCGATGTTTTTGCTCCGATTTTGCCGGCAATTTCCGCTTTTTCAACTCAGCTTTTGCCGAAAGAATTGCCGGCAGAATCTGTCTGGGCCTACCCCCCCCCCCCTTTAAAAAAAATGTGCATCTAGCACACTATGAAACCGAGACCTCAGGTCGGCCGAGTACACTGTACTTCGTAGGTCGTACATGTACCAGCCGCTTTGGAGGCCAGCATGGGCACTTGTAGAAAGAAAAACATCAGTCTGACTGCATCGAACATGATCGCCCCATAGGCCATACAATGTCACTGTTTACCTACTGTCAGCAAGTCCATAAATATTATACTGTCTACTGTTGAGCAAAAGAAAAGAAAAAGAGGGATGCATTCAACAGCTACACTTGAATTCAAAATGATGTCATCTCCTACAAACAGCCCAATCACCACCCTGATGATCAAGGTCAAATATGGAAGGAATTTAATTCTCATGCACAGCTCAAGAATAATGATAATGGACGAGGAGGGTGCATTGGTCCAAGAGAGTGATGAACAGAAATTACAATGGTAGCATGAAGAACAGAAATTACCATGGCGACATGGTGCACAAAAGTAACCACGGTGACGTGGGAAAAAGAAGTAGCCATGACAATGTGATGACCAGACGTAACCATGGTGATAAGGCATACATAAATTACCATGGTGACGTGATGAACAGAAGATAGTTGTAATGATGACATTAAAACTTTTCAAAGTGTCTTCTCAAAAACTGTTGATTGTACGGCACAATCAACGACACTTGGCTAGAGATAGCCAAGTGGCTGCGCGCCATTGGTGAACGGGAACGTGTGCCTGCGCTAGCAGTGTGCGCAATTCAGCACACGAAGCCAGACCGTGCTCCACGTCCATCCAGACTGGATCTGCTAGGCGTCGCAGTTGCCCGCATTCATCATCACTACGCGTGACTGGTGAGTGTGGATACTGGCATAGGGATTTGTTGACGATGGACTCCGGCAGAGGCTGCAGTGCTGATGCCCTGCTCACAGGTAACTGTGATCGAACTAGCTGCGCTATGCGCTGCATACACACAGGTGATAGCAACACACTGCATACAGTCTCATCCGTCATCACGTCACCCATCACGTCATCCAATACTGTATGCATGATGTCATCCATTACATCATTGTCTCTGCTGCATGGCAATGTGGAAACGGCCTGATAGTGCTGCTGCTGTTGCCGTTGGTGCTGCTGCTGCTGCTGCTGCAGCTGCTGTTGCGGTTGCTGATGTTGTTGCTGCTGCTGCTGCTGCTGCTGCTGCAGCTGCTGTTGCGGTTGCTGATGTTGTTGCTGCTGCTGTTGCTGCTGCTGCTGCTGGTGTGGCTGTTGGTTCTGTTGGTGGAGGTGGCGGTAGTGTTGCTGGTGGTGGTTATTGTGGAGGTGGGTTCGCTGTAGCTGCTGACGGTCTTGCTGCGGGTGCTGCTGCTGGTATTGCTGCTGATGGGAGCATGGTGATATCGGTAGCATATTGATGTAGTCGACGTGGGTAACTGGGGGTGCTGTTATCGGTTCGTGCAGCTGACGCAAATGACTTTGTTGAGCTGTTGGAAAGGATGGGAACGGAGGCTGGGTGTGCGGGATTTCCTGAAGTCCATGCTGCAATGTTTGAAATCCAGTTGGCAGTGACTGAATTCCACCCGGAATAGTCTGAGATCCGTGCAAATTGGCCTGAACGCGATGAAGGCCCGGGAATTGAATTCCAGGCTGCGCCGCATATGGATAGGACAGAATTCTTCCCGTAGACAATTGCGGGACCGGCTCCTGTGGAAGAGCCTGAATTTTAGTTTCCAATGATACCAGCGTGCCTGGGTGGCGGGCCTCGTGTTCCGGCATGTTTGGCCCAACACCGTGTTCAATATGACAGGCAGTAGGAGGTGGTCTACTTGCCTGGGTTAGCTGAGTGTGGCCACGTAGTGGCTTGGATCCATCGCGAGTCAGCGATTCAGGAGTGTACAGCAGAGTCGACGGAATCGCAGCTTGAAAACACTTGACTGCGGGTAGCATGTCAGCCTGGTCTACGACCGTTGGTCGTGCAGCGATGTTAACTAAATCCTGGTGTTGATTGTGCTGCTGTTGCTGGGATGGATGCATACACGGCTGATAATGGGACATCGTGACGAGCGATTCCATTGCTTGTTGGACAGACGAGCGAGTATCCGTGCTGACCAACGATTCCATAGCTTGTTGGACAGACGGGCGTGTGTGTGTGGGGCGTGTGTGTGTATCCGTGGCGACGAGTGATGCCAGGGTTGTCATTGGTAACGCCATCATCGGCACGTGTCCGAAACGCCGATCCGGCTGAACGCAATACAACGAGGGCAGCACCACATTCAGCGATCGGCATTGCGTCAGTTGCGTGTCAGTTGCTCCAGCCGTGGCGCGAGGCAGGGCCGGGAGCGAGGGCCATTGGCGCACACTTGTTGCTCTGTTCTCTGCGGCAAGGCTGCATCCACATGTCGGGCAAACCAGTGTGGTACCACAGGCACACATCGATGCAGGTTGAACGTGTTGATGACTGATTGACGCAGCTGTTTGCACTGCGCCCGGGTACAACTGACCAAAGTGTGACGTGCTCCGTACTGGAAAGGGTGTGGTTGACGTGTTCCGTTCTGGCAATGATGCCATTGACGTATTCTGTACTGGCAATGATGTCATTGATGTATTCTGTACTGGCAATGATGTCATTGATGTATTCTGTACTGGCAATGATGTAATTGATGCATTCTGTACTGGCAATGATGTCATTGATGTATTCTGTACCGGCAATGATGTCATTGATGTACTCTGTACTGGCAATGATGTAATTGATGTATTCTGTACTGGCAGTGATGTCATTGATGTATTCTGTACTGGCAGTGATGTCATTGATGTGTTCTGTACTGGCAGTGATGTCATTGATGTGTTCTGTACTGGCAAGGATGTCATTGAACGACTTGCAGACTCACCGGTTGAGTTGCGAACTGTGCTCCTTGCAGGGTGTGGATTGTAGCCGCCTGAAGTACATCTGCCGTCGTGCGTACTAGCAGAGGGTTGCCGTGTTGCCATAGTGACCTGTCGGCCCGTTGAACAACGGTGCTGGTGGTTTCGGCTGCGCTGCCCTCCGTGATGCTGTCGCCGACGGAGGGTTTTTGGCGGTGAGGCGTCTCCATTGTCATAGCAACGGGCAGAAGCTGTTGCACATGTCCTGGAGGGCACCGCATCGTCGCCGAGTACAGCACCGCGTCCGCAGCTCGCATCACGTACGCATGGGACATTGCCATAGGTCATGGTATCAGGGCAGATGTCACTGCCTGCGTTCATGGTGCTAACCTGCAGCTCTGGCGGTGTTTCCCCGATAGTCTGTGTGTTCGCTTTGTCAACACATTCACTTTGCGGCTGCGAACCTTCAGACAGACGGGAAACCACGCCGTCTGCTTCACTCATTAGTAGCCGGTGACTGGTTGCCGCTCCCTCGCACCCAGTCCTGGACGTTTCACCGTTGCCGCTAGCAACTAGCAGCGGAGGCCAGGCGGCCGAGTCCAGGAAAGGAGTGCTGTTGGTGGTGCAGGGCAAAGAAACTTGATGGTGGACACTGGTTGTGGGATGTGAACACCAGGCTGGGCTGCTTCCAGGTATGGTGGTACAGGGGGTGGAGGTGGCTTTGGTGGTGGTGGTGCTGGTGCTGGTGCAGGGTGAGGAGACTTGACGATGGAGACTGGTTGTGGAATGTGAACACCAGTCTGGGCTGCATGTAGGTACAGCGGTGGTGGTGGTGATGCTGGTGGTGCTGGCAGAGCAACTGCTCGCGCATCCGCAGGACGTAGTATGCTTTGAGTCCCGAGTGGAGGCAACTTGTCGTGATTGCGACGTACCGACTTTAGAGGTGACGTGCGCTGTTGCCACCGTGCGCTTTCCAGACCTTCTCTCACCCACTCGACGGTGCATTGGTGAAGACGTGTTCGGTTGACGGTTACGGGTACGGCCAGCGATGAACCACTCGGGGCTTTCCCTACCAGACGTTGTGTTTGAGGGCACCGTTGCCCTGGATTCATGGCATTCGACGTGAGTAGAGCAGGACGTGAAGCGGGATGAACTCGTTGGGTTTCGGTCTGCAAGGTGTGTTGGCACTGTATGAGTATTGCGGTATGTTACAGGCACAGCGTCTAATGGCGGATTCTGCTGCCTACAGCCAGGCCCAGAGTACTGAAGTGCAGTCATGTGCCCACTGCCACTGAGAGACGACGTCACCACCGATGATGCCGCTGCCAATGATGTCCCTACCGATGATGTTCCTGCTGATGATGTCACAGCCGATGATGTCATTGCTGATGATGCCGCTGCCAATGATGTCACTACTGATGACGTCACTACTGATGATGTCACTGCTGATGATGTCACTGCTGATGATGTTGCTGTTACTACTCCCACTGCTGTTGCTGCCACTGTTGCCTTTGTGGTTGCTACTGGTGCTAGTATTGGTACTGCTGCTGCCTTTGTTGATACTGCTGCTGCTGGTGCAGCTGCTGTCATGGATGTTGTTGTTGCCGATGTTGCTGCTGCTGGTGATAATGGTGATGCTGTCGGCACTGATGGGCTTGTGTGGGCTGATGCTGACACACCTTTTCTAGTGCTCACGGTAGATTGTGTACGCTTGGCAGATGCTGCACCCTTGACAGATGTAGTACCATTGACAGATGCTGTACCTTTGGCAGATGTTGCACCTTTTACAGATGTCGTACCTTTGACAGATGTTGTACCCTTGGCAGATCTAGTTACCGGGGCGGCTGCTAGCGCTAGCGTCATTTCTGCCGCTGCACCTTGCCACACTGCTGGTGATGCTTGTTGCGGTGGCTGTGCTGCTGCTACCACTGCAGTTGTGGATGATGTTGGTGCTAATGACAGTGTAGGTGCGAATGCTCCTGCTACTTGTGCATATGCCCCAAGGGAAATTATTGTAGCGGGTGGTGTCACTGCAATATCCATCCCTACGGTTAGTGGTGGCATCGCTGGCATTCCTGGTGGCCTTTGCGGAGGCGTTGGTGGAGGTGCAAGCAGGGATATGGCTGGCGTTTCTGGAGTTGCCGCTGGTGTCCGTGGAGTGGCCGCTGGTGCTCCTGCTTCTCTAGCTCCTGCTACTGCTGTTGCTGCCGCTGTTGTTGTTGCTGCTGCTGCTACTGCTGTTGTTGTTGCTGCTACTTTTGCTGCTGCTGCTGTTGTTGCTGCTGGTGGTGGTGGTGCTGCTGCTGTTATTGCTGCTGCTGCTGCTGTTTTTGCTGCCGCTGTTGCTGCCGCTGTTGTTGTTGCTGCTGCTGTTGTTGCTGCTGCTAGTGGTGGTGGTGCTGGTATTTTTGCTGCCGTTGTTGTAGCAATCAATGATCGAAATGGCAATGCTGTTGCTGATGTAGCTACTGATGATATCGATGGTACTGTTGCTATCAACGGTGGTGATGGTGTCGGTGTTGGTGGTGATGTTGTAGTCACCGATGATAACGATGATGATGTCGGTGTTGCTGCTGCTGTTGTAGTCACCAATGATAGCGGTGGTGATGATGTTGGTGTTCTTGTCGCCGCCAATGACTGCATGCGTGTGGCATCAGCCTCACCGTGAGCACCGCAGCACTTCACTGCACTGTCGCGATCAAGACTGTCGCAGCAAGACGAAGACAACGAGGAGTGACTGCTACCCAGGCACGAATCCAGACTGCCATCTCGACTTGCACAGCGAGGACCCACTCCGCCGCGCGCACCACTTCTATACACACCATGGCGTGAGGGCTCGACTTCACAAACACCATCGTGACCGACTTCACACGCACCATCGTGGGTGGTGACAATGCCCGGTGGCTCTGCAGCATTTGTAACATTCTTGCTGGATACACAGCTCGACGCACAGCTGCCTTCTTGTCGTTCTTCAGGAAGTCGTACATGATGTACACGATCACCGACAGGGGAGTTGTTAACGTGTTTGCTTGATGATGCAGCTGCTTTCACACCGGATACTTGTTTAGACGATTTCGGTTTCCCAGCTCTCGCCTTGCCTTTACTGCGTTGCTTTGAAGCTGATTTCTTCGTCTTGATCACCGCGGGCAACGTGGCACCATCCAGCGCGAGCAGCTCCAGGGCGTTGCGCTCGGCTTCCAGCGCGGCACCGTGTTTCCATGACGACATCAGGTGTCGCCGTGCCGACTGCAGCAGCTGTGGGACGGCGTGGCACGGGAAGCAGGCAGAGTCGTCGGCAGGTGTGCTCAAGCGAGCGTCGCGCCGCACCACCTGCTTATCACCACCATCTCCGGAATGCACAGTATCCGCAGATGGCGGTGGTGGAGGAATCTGTAATTCTTGTTGAGACGTGCCTATGTTGCTGCTTTCGGTACCGTTCTGAGATGTATTGCGTCGCTCTGCAGTGCTACATGACCTTGCGCTTTCCTTCGCTAATGCACAGTTACAATTACCAACTGTACCGCAATATCCACAGTCGACTGCAGCGGCTATGACGTCACCGGTATGTTGACAGTGCTGGATGACATCATCACTCTCACTGGCCCCGCACTGTGGAGTAGAATCCCGGGCATGGGTCACACCAGCACTACCATGGCATGTAGTGTGATTTCGTGGACCGGTGCATGTAGTCGTGCTGCGGCACATTACGTCATCATTATGATCATCATGGGCAGCGATGACATCATCGCGCAGAGTCATGACATCACTATTTGGCCAGGCCAGACAGTGGTGTTTCCCGATCTTCTCCACACTGTACACACGACTAGAAGAAAGGGAATTCCCCACCGAAGGCTCCGTATCACTGCAGACACCGAGCACAGCTGGTATAGCTTCGGCAAGCAGGCAAACCATTACAGAGCCTGAGTGCGGAGGATCACAGGTGCCTCGAGAGTCCACGTCGGTACTCGATACGCGCGGCGGTGATCTTGCAAATTCGTCATGCGCAGTACGAGTACTAGCGATGCCTGCAGGCGTGGCATTGTGGAGTGACGGTCCGTCAGTATGTCCTCCGTTGCTTGTTACTGATCCCGCTGTCGCTCGTATTGGTGCTGTCGTCGTAACTGCCACTGCTGTCGCTTTGGTTGCTGCTGCCGCTGCTGCTGCTGCTGTAGCTTTGGTTGCTGCCGCTGCTGTAATTGCTGGTGTTGTTGTTGCAGGTGCTGCACGTGACCTGATGACATCATCATCACGTGACCTTCCCACTTCATGTGACCCGGTGACATCATTATCATGTGATTTTCCCAGTGCATTTGACCTACTGACATCATCATCATGTGATCTTCCCAGTACACGTGACCCGTTGACATCATCGCCCGGGCCGGTTTCATCACATGACTTAGGTGGTGGACAACACCGAGTGATAGGATCATGCGACGTTGTTGCAAAGTCATGTGACAGCTTCTTGCCGGCGCATGATCCAGTAATATTACACTGAGCAGCATGCACACTCAGGAGTGTAGCACCATGGAGACGAAGCACTGAGCAAGTGTTGAATTTCTACACACACACACACACACACACACACACACACACACACACACACACACACACATAAGAAAACAAGCGCAAGCACATACACACACATAAGAACACACACACCATGTACCATCAAGAGTACATAAACCAGAGTGTGCAACTGTGCATATCAGATCTCAAACAGCGCAGTTCGTGCACTACGTCACCCTGATGAGATCAGCCAAGCCGCGACTTGCGTACAGCTCAAATTTTCATGTTTCATAGCCCGGAAATCAGCCAAGTTTGCTTGATTTTAGACGTCCTGTTTCAGGATTTCGGTGTTTTGTGTGACTGTGTACGCTGCGTACATCCACCGACAAGTAAAGTCACCAGGCTATCCGTATCAAAAAACCGAAATCAGGACAAACTCAGTGAACTGCACCACCGCGACTGGTTACGCAACTTTTCACCGTACCTGTGGCTTACCATGCCGTCAGAAATGACGTAGTGCACGAATTACGCTCCCACAGGAACCATCCCGAGTTGCACACTCTGGTTTATGTACTCTTGGTACCATGTATACGCCCGTCGCAAGAGAAGCACGCAAATCTGCAAATGCACTGGGTGTGCATCTACAGATTTTATCTTATAGCAACAATAGCGGACAAGATCTGAATGAGACAGATCAAGACGTGCGCCAGATAACTGTTTTAATCCACACAACTGGCGAAGCCATATGAATCGACCACCAATGCACACCTGGTCTACACCACACGGAGTACATCGGCATAAAACGGCCAAGACAGTTACCTATGCACACCCTACACTTGCTGGGGTAACCAGTATAGACAGCACGCTGCTTTGATCAAAGCAGACACTAGATGCACTGGTACCTTGAAGTGAAATTGAACACACACACACACACACACACACACACACTACTACTACTACTACTATGATACAGCTACCCTAAACGGGTCACGCCGCCCTCCACCCAAGCATGGGCACTATGAGGGGCAGTGGCAAATAAAGAGAATCAGCTAGCAGAACTGGCAAAACAGATGAAACAATGGAGCAGAACGGACAACTGCTGTACTGTAATAACAACCCGACAGCTACAGTGACAACGACTGAAAATGAACAGGAAGGAAAAAAAATTCAAAATTTCACGTCACGAAAAACACTGTCCACGAAAGAATCCACCAGGCAAAAGGAGTGTGGGCATCCGAAATCCCACCAGGACTCCACTAGCAGTTCTTCCACGTAGACGATGTTAGCGGCAGGGCAAGGCCTCACAAATCCGACAGACTTCTACAACGCTTGACCAGTGCACTCATGACGACGAAAGATTGAAGTTTCAATTCCCACCATTCCGCCATTGGGACCTTCCTCTCCGCACCCGCTCGTCCACTCCACTGAAAACAACGAGTTGTTCCAGCACGCCAATCCGCAATTCCCACCACTGCATTCTTCGAGCTTGGATTCTTCACAGCACTCGAGGGACAGCTACTCCACTGCGAGTGGTGGACCACGGCCGACGCAGCAGTGACAATATCGAAGTAAATTGTCCTGCAAGCTACATCGCGATTCCGCGCTCCAATCATGCAGCACTACCTTGGCAGTGTGCGAGGGTGCTCCAGGGTCGACTCTGGCTACGCCAGAGTCGCCCTGGGCAGGCAGAAAACTTGGGAGAAAGCCAAGAACACGGAGCTCAGAAAGTGTAACCTGCTCCCAAGGAGCACAAAACAACACACACACACACACACACACACACACACACACACACACACACACACACACATGCCCGCACGTGCATACCCCTTGCCTGGAGTCCTGCTGCCAATCATTTGGCCTCGGGTAACACAACAACTGGTGAATATCAACCTTGGGTATACCAATAGTTTGCGAATAACGACACAATCGTAAGACCTACATGGCATTAACATTTTACCAAGAGTAGATAGACAAGAGTGTGCAACTCCGGGATGGGTTGGCCCGCGGCGGAATTTTTTGTTGACGTAATCTTTTCGACGACGCACGCGCTGCGAGTCCTTTGGAAAGTCTTGCCTCGTGCACTTGACCGGGCTTTACATTACAAGGTCGGTGCCCAGCACGTGCTCTCACACTGCTCTGCGGCAAAATGCCCGTTTTTCTGAAAAAAAGGTGACGTCAACAAAAAATTCCGCCGCGGGCGGTGGTATCTGCAGATTGTGCAGAAGAGATCCGGAGTTGCACACTCTTGTTTATCTACTCTTGATTTTGCTGTATACTTTCAAAATCGCGAACAGCTAAAATTCGCGAATACCGACACTTTCCCCATACCCTGCCGAGGGTTCTCATTCCCAATGTTGACTGTATGCTAGTTGTGAATAGAATCACACCACCAACTAGTATCACTATAGTCCATAGCCCAGTTCCAAAACACCATAAATCACCGCATTGTGATCTTACAAATCGCCATGGGTTTGTCCCCTGTGTTTTTTTTAGGGGTGTGCATGGGTAGTCGGGTACCCGTGTTACCCGTGAGGACCTCGGGTAGTCGGGTACTTTTTTTAAGACATAACCTAGGATTCGAACCCGCACCATCGCCCTGCATGCATCCCCCGATACACTTCGCACACATACTATTTCTTCCAAGTTGCTTCACGCTATGATCTTGCATTTGAAGGCCCTATTTGAATATTGCGGCCAGCTGTATGTGGCCAGCTGTGTTTGATGGTACGGTACGGTACGGGACAGATACGGGATAGCGCCAGGCGTGACACAAACACACAAACAAACACACAAATACCAAATTAAAGCTGTGTGGACCCTGGCTAGCGCCAGACGTTACTGAAGTAACGTCTGCTGCATAGCTACGGGAATAAATAGAATCTTACCGATGGAACTATGTGATTGAATGTCATCAGGTCGGTGCAGTATTGATCCGTCCTGCGTGCCATGAACCACTGCAGGGCCCGCTGGCAATCACCCGACGAGTGCTCCTCCGAGTTGTCCCTGCCTCCACCTCCAGTGTCGGTGCCGCTGCTGCAACCTTGACGCTCCCGTCGCCGTCGTTGCCCAGACCGGGAAACACGGCCCGTGGCACCGGCGACGCCTGCGTGAGGAACGTTGAGGCTTCGCAGCTGGGCACGCAGGCCCGGGCGTCTGCTCCACGTGCTCGCGTCGCGCAGCATCGCGTCGCGCACTTGCCGATCAAATATGGCCGCCAGGACGGTTCCGAGGTCCGAGGCACACTGTGGGGTAGAGGTATCGACCATGGCTGGTGTGGTGGACGCCAGGAATCGAGCCGCAGAGTCAAAGTACACCATAGCTAGGAACAAGCAACCTGCATGCATGGACAAGGAAGAGAGCAGGCAAAGCGAACACTGTTATTACAGGGGCGCAGCTGATGTCCCGTTTCAGGAGGTGGGGTCGAGGGGGGTGCACGGCCGCATATGTGTAGAATGGCTGGTGCATGTCATTCATGGTCAATAGAGAGGTTAAGATGCACGTAATTTCCGACGTGACGCGAAAGGTCAGCTCGTGTTATTTGGCTCGTGCGTGGAAACACAACGGAAGTGACCTGCAGCTCACGTCGAAATTTGGAGTTTTACGCCAAATTTGACGTGAAATTGTGCGTCACGTCAGAAATAACATGCAACTTAACCTCTCAATTGTGTGCACGCTGACCCTAGGTTGAATTTCTTTACGTGCCCCCGGGCAGTACAAAAAAACACGAGCTGGTCGAGCAAGGAAATTGAAATGGTTGGCAGAGAAAGGGATTGAGGACATTCCTGGGGACTTGGTGACTTCACTAGGCTGTAGCGCTGGGCCTGCAACTCTGATTTTGCTGGGTGATAGTTCATTGTGCATGCGATGAGAAGAGCGTTCCGGAGAGCCCAAGATTATGAAAATCAGGATACCCAATGCTGTAGATAGCAGGCTGTTTCGGCCTTAAAGACCTCATCAGTGCAGCTACGAGATTAAAAAATGTGAAAATCAGGATAACGTTGCGGGGGTAATGACCGAAAGTTGACACGTGATTTGAAACGAAAATGATGTCTTTCGCCATGTGGTGGAGTTATGGCAGATCCAAAGGGTTAGACTTACTTCTTTTGAAGTAGAATCAAATTATCAAAAGCATGTTAAGGTAAGTCATGTGTCAAGTCAGTCGGCACTGGAAACGCGAGATCCGACGTACGGAGCAGACACGTTCTCCTTGTGAAGCCTGAAGGTAGCCGTGGTTAATTCTGACACGGTGTGGGAAAGAGGTGTTACAAACCTCTTTGTTCCAATGAGCTCGACATACTGAGAGGGTGACGTTCATCCGCGCCAGGAGTACATGAAACCCAGGTAAGGGTGTGCACCTGCTGGCATGCTCTGTATGAGTGTCTGTCACGGCGACATACCAGGATTACATCATATCAAGAGTACATGAAAACCAGAGTGTGCAGCTCGGATGGGTGGCTGTCACGGGCCTCACGGCGAAATTCCGTGATTACACCATTTTAATGATGTAGTGCGTGCAAGCAGGATTCAAGCAGGTCTCTTTCTGCACAACTGCAGCTCAGTGTGAGTTGTACGCACTACGCCATTTCCCGCCTCAGATGTGCGCCAAATATGATGACTGTAATGACGGAATTCCGCCGTGACAGACACCCATAGCAGAAAAGACCCCAAGCTGCACACTCTGGTTTTCATGTACTCTTGATCATATTTAATGCATATCTGTGGAGGGAAGTGGAGTACTGCGTGCAACTGAGCCGCAGTTGTGGAGAAAGAGACCTGCTTGAATCCTGCTTGCAGGTGCTATGTCACTAAAATGTTGATGTTATCCTGGAATTTCGCCCACGACGGCAACCCATGAGGGTTGCACAATCTGGGTTTCATGTACTCTTGTCTGCGCTTACAAGTACATGCATAGCTAGCCGGACACTAGCTATTCAAGTTTTACGGGGGTGGGGGGGGCACAGATGCATTCTGCTTTGTTCTGTGTACTACATGGTGCCTTTGCAAATCTAGGACACCTTGATGAAATCACACAAATTCGAAGTGTAATTTTTTTCTACGTTCGAAGAGTCAGCACCGACGCAGTAAAGCAAATTTGCTGTGTGGATTGCGTCGGTGCAGACAATTCTTTCGAAATTGGACACACCTCCAAGTTTTCTGCAAATTTGTTTAATCTTTTAAAACATTTCGCAGTCTTCTCATGCTCGGATTCCACTCCAGGTGTCTGGACACACATACACGCACACGCACGCACACACACACACACACACACACACACACACACACACACACACACACACACACACACACACACACACACACACACACATATACTTGTACTTGTTGCTCACTGCCAAAACTGGTCACGTGGGTCAATTGGCTATTGAACCGTCCAACGGCTGACACCCCCTGACATCCCCAAACTCTTGATGGACTTGGAAATGATCCCACTTGCGGGCTCACCACACCGCAGTATGTGGGTGAGAGCCGGACAAGGTGCAGAAAAAGGATCAGCGGCATAAGGGCATCCGTCCCGCGATCCAACTGCAGTTACCCCTGCCCCCAGAGAAAGTAATACAGTCAGACCTCGCTTATCCGGTCCTCCTTTATCCAGATCCCTCGACATCCGGAAGAAAATCGTTGGTTACCGATTTACAGCATATGCCATGCATACATACAGTATGTGTGTTCGATTATCCGGTTCCCTCGCCTATACGGATATTTTTGTGGAAAACGGATGTTTGCGGTTATGCGAGGTCTGATTGTACTTGCTACTAGTGTGGGTGGCTATATCAGAGTGGATCTGACACACACACACACACACACACACACACACACACACACACACACACACACACACACACACACACGCACGCACGCACGCACGCACACACACACGCACGCACACACACACACACACACACACGCACACACGCACATCCTTGACCTTGATACACGTTGCCTTGATAGGTTACACGGTCCCCGTCTAGGTTTCCCCTCCTCTTACAGTACTAAACTACTACGTCCTGGGATGACCCTGGGATGCCCAGAGCCGCCCCAGAGGGCTGGGAAGCTCGTGAAAAGAACCAGAACAGCAGAGCTCAAAAAGTTGCAACTGGACTCTACCAGTACACACACACACATACACACACGCACACGCACACAGCCCCCATCCACACAACACAGCACCGTACATACCTCCATCGGCGTCTAGGAGTGAGCGGTCAACTGCAGAACCACAGAACAAGAGGAAAGTCTTGAGGCAGAGGTGTAGGTCCGGCGTGTTAGAATCAAATTTTCTTTTCTTTTCCTTTCTTTCACTCTATATTATTCCTACTCCCGGGTGGGTCTATTGTTATTCGGCGGATGTCTGTTATCGTCATCACTACAAATAAAATCAAACCGTCCACCCGATCCAAATGGGTGTGGGTTGGAACCGATTCGAGCCATATGGCTAGGGATTCCTGCGGTTGATCTACCGTGAATATTTTTTAAAGGTGCGAAGCAACTTCAGAAACGTGTCGCAGAAAGCCGTGATACGTGTTGATTTTCACCGTACCCTATGATGCACAGTGTGTATGCCAGGTCAGGGGGGAGGGGGCGGGCGGCCACGCTA